CACAGGAGAGCTATAACCACCAGCACCATGGGGCCGAAAGCAGTGAGAAACTGGCATGGAACACATACCTCTGTGCAAACTTTTGGCTGGTCCAGGAAATGTCTAGATACACCAGACACTCCAAAGCAGAGAGCCAGAAAAACGATGGGAGGCTTGAATCCGAGGGGTCCTGGTTACAGCAGCAGATGCATCTGAACTCTCTCTGTGGGAACTTTTCACATATCTCTCAACCCCATTGTACAGATGGGACAAATGAGGCTCAGCAGCAGCAAGTCACCTGCCCAAAATCACATGGCCAGCAAACTCAGGTCTGAAACCCACACCTCATCCTGGCTTCTAGGAAGTTTGTCACCTTGAGCACTGCAATGTCCTGCCTCTGCATTTCATGTTCACCATGAAATGAGAAGATGGAGCAACTCATGCTGCCTAGGGCAAGTGTGGGGGTGGCAGTGGGAAAAACTTTTCAGGAGTGCTGACATTTGGTTGGACCATGAAGGACGAATAGGAGTTTGCCAGTTGGAAGATAAAGTGGAAAATGCATTCCAGGTAGGAGGAACAACATAGGCAGAGGCATGTGTGCATTGAGAGAGCAGGGTTGTGTACCAAGGAGGTGTGGTGGTAAGGGAGGCAAAATGAGAAAGCAGGCTAGGATTTTAGTGAGAAGGTCCTGGCAAGCCAGGCTAAGAGAACTGGTCTTTATTCTATAAGCTTGGCGTTAAGTTGAAAGTTTCTGGAAATCAAGGCCTAGAAATATGCAGATAACAAGGCAAAGTAGCTCTCCTGTCTGTTTTCTGACTAGTTTACTAAAGTAAGATTGTTCTCAAATCATCTATGGAGGATTGTTGTTTAAAATTCTCTTATCTAGCCTCATGGTGCACACCTGTGTTCCCAGCACTCAGGAGACTGAGGCAGGAGGATTGTGTGTTTCAGGCCAGCCTGGGCTACGGAGCAAGACCCCATCTCAAATGTCAATAAATAAATTTTAAAAATAATATTTCTAATCTGTTACAAGTTAGTACTTTTATAAAATACAAGGAAAATTAATTACTAGAGACATAAAATGAAAAAAAAATCCAAAAAGTCTATTTTTTAAATTATAAGAATCAATAGATGTAGAATTCTTTACCAAATTGCTCTATAGGTTCCCAGCTCTTGGTGTCTGCACTCACTGTGAAGGGGAAAGGCTGTCCAGTACCTGTCAGGCCTGTTTTTAGGATAAAGGCAGGCAGTTTCTTCTCCTAGTCAGCTAAGTGCTTTTGATCAACTCCCATTTTGGCGATGAAGACCCTACTCAGAGAAGGCAGGTGGCCTGTTAGTGAGTGGCAGGACTGGACCCAAACCCAGGGCTGTCCACCTTGCCCTCAACCAGTGTGGCCGGTACAGGGCAGCCCTCAGCAGAGCCCCTCTGGCCAGCGCTGAGCTCTGTTCTTCCTCTTCCTTCTCTGGTGAGGAGCCCTGCAGATGGGGCAGGGGAAATGAAGCAGTTTAGGAGAAGTTGAGAACTTCTTTGCCAGGGGCTCACTGCAAGAGGGTGGCAGAGGAGGCGGAGGCGTCAGATCTCCTGACACCAGCCTGTGCTCCGTTATACCTCCCACCTCTGTGGCTGTGACTCTGTGACCTCTAGGCCAGAGGATGCCAAGGAAGGCAAGGGGAGGAGGGACAGGAATAGGCAGGGGACTCATCAGTCACTGGCAATTACACGGTGCTTTGTCATTCTTAATTAGTTCAGAGCCTCTGCAGTCCTGGCTCTCCCAGTGGATGCCTGGGCTGGGGAGGAGACAGCTGCTGGGCCCACCAAGGATGGCAGACTGGCTGGGCGGGGCTGAGGCCCCTCAGGAGCACCTCTCCAGCCCTGTTAAGATTTGCAGTTCTTCCAACTGCAGAGTCCCTCCTTAGGGACACTCGGAGAACAGGGGACAGAACTGAAGTCCTTGGGCAAGTGTTGGGCACCTCCTCAGTGCCAGGTGCTGGTCATCTGCTCCAGGGGATCCTGGGTGAGTGATGACTTTTAGCCCTAGGGTTTCCCATTACCCTAAAATTATGACCAGAGTGACTGTTTACTGAGCACTCGCCAGGCACTGGCCTAAGCATACCCCAGGCATCAGCCACACAAGCCTCACAAAGCCCTCGAAGGTGATGCCCCATTGTACATCCTGTACATAAATGGAGGATTTGGTTGAAGAACCCAGGTATGTGGAACTTCAAGATCCAAGAATCATGTAGGAGTGTGTGTGTGTGTGTGTGTGTGTGTGTGTGTGAGGATGTGTGTGCTGGGGAGACAACAGTGGTGTGTGGGTAGCTGTGACTGATCGAGAAAGAGGCCAACTCGACTTTCTGGGCAAAGGTGGGAGGCATGAGATGAGGCTGGATGTTTCTGGAAGAGGAAGCAGTTTGGGAAGATCTGAGGAGGGAGGGTTCAGAGGCGATTGGTTGGGGCTGTGGAATCAGCTGGCAGGAAAGGCCCTCAGCCGGTAAAAGGTCAGAGCCAAGTGTAGACAAGACTCCCTGGGGCTCCTGACTCACCAGCAACCCAGGATGCCTCAGGGCGGCAGTCTCGAGGGAGGGAGGGGCAGCCCTGCCCTGCCAGCTCAGGGTGCGGTGTGAGTTTTGGGGTGAGGCTGGACTGGCTGCAGCTCAGACCAAGCTAGGATGAGTCCAGGCCTGAGAATGAGCCCCCTTCCTAGCCAGTCCAGAGTTATGACAGCCAGTCACTCTAACCCTTTCATCTTCGTGGCTGATGCGGTTAGTGATTTAGTTTTTTGTTTTTGGGGGTTTTTTTGGCAGCACTGATGTTTGAACTCAGGACTTCTTGCTTGCTAGGTATGCATTCTTACCTCTTGAGTCACTCTACCAGCCCAGTGATTTTAGTTTTATTAAAATAGGTGACATATAAGGTACTAAATACACACTAGGTGTAATTCCCAAGAAGTCACATCAACTTTTAATCCTCATCACAACCCCATGAAGTATAATCCCCATGGTCTTCAGGTTGCTATAACAAAACACCATGGGCTGGATGACTTATAAATAAAACATCTATTCCTCATAGTTCTGAGGGGTGGAAGTCCCCAGACTTGACTGGAAGGTCAAGATGCTAGCGGATTCTGGTTTAGATGAGGGCCTGCTTCCTGGTTCATAGCCACTGTCATCTCACGGTAATCTCCCATGGCAGAAGAGGCCCTGGCTCTCTTCATCCTTCACGGGTTCACAAGGGCTCTGCTTTCACGACAATCACCTTCCGAAGGCCTTATCTTCTAACGCCATCACCTTGGGGGTTAGGATTTCAAGGAGACATAAACATTCAGTCCATAGCATCTGTTTTACATTTTTGAGGACACTGAGGACCACAGAGAGAGGCTGAAAGTCCAGTCAGCTCCATGATGCCCACTCTCACTGGGGGCCAGGAGAGCTCACCACAGAAAAAAAACAGGGAATTCACAGTTCTGTGGCCATTCCACTAAAGACAGAAGCAGGTTATTCCCACCGAGAGCACCCCTTCTCCTTTTATTTTTTTATTTTTATATTTCCTTTCTGATTACTAAAGGATTCATGATCATTGTAGAAATGTTTGCTAAGTTAGATCAGATGAGAAAAAAAATCAGAAAAGAAAAATCGTCTTAAAGCCTTGTTGTGAATACTGTGTCCTTTCAAGTTTTCTTGCTCCCCTCCCTGTGGTTATAAGGATTCATGGTGTGAGGCCAGGAGACCTGGCTTCTGGTCACAACTTGCTGTGTGACCTTGGGCAAGTCCCTGCCTCTTTCTGGGCCTCAGTGTCCTCACCAGTGAAAAGAGGATTTGGCCACAGTAACTGCTGAAGAGGCCCCTTGCAGCTCTAACCTTCTGTTTCTGCTTGTTTCTTGGAGTGGCAGAAGGGGCACTAGCAGGCTGTCCCTCTGCAGGGGACACGTAGCTGACAGCTCCCAGCAAGTCACCTCCGGGAGAGGCGGAGGCTGGTTAATGGTCTTCATTGCACACAGGCCTGCCTGCTTACTGGGTCCATATGGTGCTTCCTGCAGCCGGACACCACCGGCTGCTGTCTGCCAGCCAGCCCTGGGTCACCCTGCTTTTCCTCCAGGCTCCAGAAAACAATCTCTATAGTCCTAGGGTCATTTCTTGGGTGTAAGAGTTGGTGACTCAGGCCTATGACCTCCTTACCCACTGCCACAGTTCTTTGAGGGAGAAGGTGGCCTGGGATCGTGAAGAGGGACAGAGGAAAGAAATACAGCATTCTAACTCTATTTGGACCCCTTGCTAGGCATCTGGGACTCAAATATGAATCAGAAAATTGTTCTGCCCTTGAAGGATATGACATCCAATGGAGATGAGAAGAATAGAAACAGGCAGCAGCAACCCTGCAATGCTGCAAGTTTAGGACTGTGGGAGCCCATGGGAGAAACCTAACCCATGGCTGGTAGTCCAGGAAGGCTTCCTGTAAGAAGCAACTTCTTGAGATCTTGAGGTCAGGATTCAACTCTGCTGTCCCTTGCCCTGGCCCAGAGCGCTATCTGTAAAGTGGGCCCATTGCTGACTGTATTATTCACCCAAGTAGTTTTGTGGGACCAGTGCAGGATAGAACTATAAAGGCACTGAGTTTAGAAACCAAGGGCAGAATGTCAATCAGGCCTTCCTATGTAGTGGGGCGGGGACAATCAGCTTCTATGCCAGAGTAATTAGAGGCAAAGCACACCCATCAGAAAGAGATCATGGATAGTTGTGGGTGTTCTGCCTTGGGCTCCTTGGGTACAGTCTGAGAGGGTTTTGGGTATTTTTTTTTGGTGGTATTGGAGTTTGAACTCAGGGTCTCACACTTGCTAGGAAGGCACTCTACCACTTGAGGCCACTCCACCAGTCCTGTTTTGTGTTGAGTATTTTCCAGATAGGGTCTTGCAAAGTATTCCCTCCTAATCTCTGCCTCCGGAGTACCTAGGATTACAGGTGTGAGCCACTGGTGCCCACCTGGAGTCAGGATTCTAGGGAAGGGGATGGTTTTTCTTTCTTTTTTTCTTCAATGGGACTGGGATTTGAACTCAGGGCTTTGTGCTTGCAAAGCAGGTGCTCTACCGCTTGAGCCACACCTACAGCCCCTGGAGTCAGGATTCTGAAGACCTGGAGTTGGAACAACTGTGCTGGCTGAATTCTACAGTCCTGTCTGCCTTGGAATGCCTCCCAGGAAGCAGGAGAGGGTGTGGGCCAAAGTCACACAGCCCCTGGTAGGTTGGAAGATCACTACAGATAGGATTGCATTTCATTTTTCAGATAGTGGTAAAACCCAGAGAGGGGAAGGATCTGCCTGGAGTCACACAGCAAGTGTGTGTCAAAGGCTAAGGCCCCTTTCCCCTACACCTCAGAGTAACACCCCAGGCCATGCCAATCTCTGAGACTACCTGGGAGCGGGTGGGCAGCGTGCAGCCCAGAAGGTGACAGGAAGTACTTGGGAGCTACATGGGTCAGTAAGGAGCCCAGTCGGTCATGCTAAGGACACACGTTTATACTTCTGCCCTTTCCCGGCAAAGTTTTACAGCCTCCCAGAATGCCCTAGGGAACCCCTTCCTCTTATTCTTTTTGTTGCTTTTTTGAGATAGGGTCTCAGTATGTACCTCAGGATGGCCTCAAACTTGCAATCCTCCTGCCCCAGACTCAAGAATGCTGAGATTGAGAACACGCACCACCATGCCCATTCTCTTCCTCTTATTCCTGAAGGAGATCCTTCACTGCTCTGGCCCTCAGTCTAGCCATCTGTAAAACGGTCTCCAAGTTCCTTTTGGTGGGGCAATCTAGAAACCTAGGCTTTCGGACTCTTAGGCTTTTACGAGGTAGGAATTGGAAGAGGGTGGAAAGGGGGCTTCCAGAGCGAGGAGCCTTTGTTTGGGAAGCCACCGAGAGTGCAAAGCACGCGGACCCCCGAGCAGTGCCTAGCCAGGGCAGGGAGAGGTAGGGCCTCGAGGGCGTGCCCCGCGCACGTGGGCGTGACCTGGGGGGCGTGTTCTCCCTTCGCCCCGCCCCTGGACGTAGTCGCGGAACTCGCTCCGGGGAGGGAGGAGCGCGCCGCCCGCGCGCCGCCTGGCCGGGCGGAAAGTTTTCCTGACGGAGTTTTTGGCGGCGGCGTTGGAGGCTGGAGCGGGCCATGGACGCGCTCAAGTCTGCGGGGCGGGCGCTGATCCGGAGCCCCAGCCTGGCCAAGCAGAGCTGGGGGGGCGGCGGCCGGCACCGCAGTGAGTGTGTGCGCGTTCGCCGGGCCGGGCCGGGCCGGGTCGGGCCGATGCGCTCGGGGCCTCCCGCGGGCGCTGGAGTTGGGCCAAGTTGGCGGAGAGGTGGAGCCTGACCCGTGCTCTCCTTCAGGAGTGGCTCTGCCTGGCCCTGCGGGGTTGGGGTCGCTCGGGGTCAGGTCGGGGTCCCCAGGTGCAGGCGGTGGGGGATGCAGGTGGGGAACAGAGACCTTGGTGACCCTCTGGCACCTTCCCACCTCGACGCTCTGGCAGCCAGGGGGACGCAGCGTCAGCGTGTAGGGACAAGGGGTGGACGCAGTGGCTTGGGAAGGTGCCCCATCCTCGCACCCTTGCGCCCCCGCGAGGAGCAGCGGCGGCGGGAGCCCCTTGCCTCTCCACCCACTCCCGGTGCAATGTATAAGGGGCACCTTTTACCTCCCGGGTCTCACGTGTGAGTCCGGGTCGCAGGTTCCTACTTCTGGAAATGAGGCCCGGCCTGGTGTCTCAGGAGGTCCCAGCACCGGGCCATCTAGAATCCCGCGTCCTTTCTTCCAGCCGCGTCCAGGTGGCGAGGTTGGCGTGCAGGCTATTTTTGAAACCTGTTTTCTTTCTCACCCTCCTTGGGGGCTTCCGAAGTCCCTGGGCGCCCAGGGAAACGGCAGACTTGCCGCCACCTCTCCCGGGGGCGTCTGGGTGGCCGAGAGAGACTTCCTCCGGGCCCCCTCCTGTCTCCCTCTGTCTCGATCTCGAGTTACCTCCAGGGAGCCCGTCACCTGGCACCTTCCCCTGAGGCCTGAGAAACCTAGCCCAGGCCCCTCCCTTTTCGGGAGTTGTTTGCTTGGGGTCACATAGGGCTTTCTGGCTGATGTGGACCCATAGCACAGGACTGCAGCACCCTTCGCCCACCTGCCACCCACCTGGGGCCTCCACCTCTCCCAGGAAACAGTACAGCCTGCCACCCCTACCCCCTATTCCCTCCTTGTCTTCCAGGGCTCCGCCAGGGGAGCCCGAGTTCTCTGGTCCCAGGAGTGCCAGCGTGTCTGGGCCTAAAGAGCCCGCCCTGTCCCTCCTCTTGCCCCCCTCTGCAGTTCCAGCTGTGGGCCCCTGCTAGCCCAGACTGGCACTGAGTATGTGGGGTGAGGCTTGTTGGTGGGGGTGGGATGAGAGGCCCACTGGGCCATGCCAGGCATGTACCATCTCCCACACTTACTGACTCCCAAAATAGTCCCTTAAAAAAATCTGTGGGATGTGACCAGGATTTCTGAGCATGACCCTTTCTTCCAAGGAGGAACCCTGCGGTTTTCTCCAGGGATAGGGAGAGAGGGTGGGTGGGGCAGCCTTTAGTGGTTCTGAAGGGAGGTTCTGAAGGGAGGGAGCTCAGAAGCACCTCTGAATGCTTCTGAGCTCTGAGGGGAAGAGGGAGTCCCTTTGGATAGTGGAGAGTTTCTGTGAGCTTCAGTTTCCTCACCTGCAAATTGAGGAATGATGCAGTTCTTGCAAGAGTATTAAGAAGATTGTAGGTAATGATGCTCTCTTTCGTGGTAGTTTCCTTCTCCCTTCTTCCTGCCTGTGGGTCTTCATCATCATTTTTATGGTGGTGGATCAAGTTTGGGGGACTCAGAACCTGTCTACACCTTGGAAGAAAACAATACCCCCCACCCCCACCCCAAAGCCCTGAGTGCTGTCCCCAGAATGAATTCATGTACCTGCTTCAGACTTTGTTGTGGGAGTTAAATCAAAGTGTGGCTTGTCTGGTATAAAGGAAGAGTTCACTCTGTGAACACTGTGTTTTAGTGATTTTGTTTGCTCCTGTGAGGTGACAAAACAGCAGCATCACTGTTATTGTTTGCACAGAGTTCCCAAGAGGGAGAGCTCCAGTCCCCAGCCCAGGGGTCTTAATGTGGACTTTGACCATGGGAGGAGCTGGGAACAGGCCCCAAACCAGGGTGGCTGGCAGCCTGTGGGGACCACAGGTGGCCACAGTTAGAGAGAAAGGCCATGGGATGTGTCCAGGGTATGTGTGTAAAAGCAGCCTTGTTTAGGGTTTCACCCAGCCAAGCCTTGAGCAAACCCTTCAAGTTCTGAGGCTTATGGCTGACTTTGAGGCCAAGGTGAAGTCAGTAGAGAGTTAATGTTAGACTTGACCCATGCTGTCTGCATTGACCTGTTCTTCAACTCTCCAGGTCCTCAGCTGGGATTAGTATGGCCCTTGGTTTGTATGGAGAAATGAAAGCCCAGAGAAGAGCAGGGCTGCAGCTTGCCTGAGGTCACACAGCAAAGCCAGCGCCAGAGCTTCACCCTCCTTTCATTTGTCTTGACCTCAAAAGAGAACTCTCTCCCCTTCCCACATTCCATTTTTCCCCATCTCTTTGAGAACCATGAATATTTTATCTCAGTCTCTGTCCAAGGATTTTCCTTTCTTCCAACTGCCTGGAAGAATGCCTCACCCTGGCCTCTCACTTTCCAAGGTACTGGGGTCATTCTGACCATTGGGACAGTTTGTGGGTTGTGCCAGCCTGCCAAAGAACCCAAAGAGACCAGATAAAGAAATAATAGGTGCCAGTTTCAGTAAAACTAGCTCGTGGTGGTAGGTGGTGGTGAGAAGGAATTGGTTATGTTCACTGGTCGTTAAGTATAGCCAAGCCACCAAACCATAATATTTATTGAGCACTAATTGTGTGTCAGGCGTTAACTGCTACAGGCATGGGGAGTCTGGGGACTGAATTTTGTCTCTTCTGACAGTGCTCAGTCTGGCGGAGAAGGAGGGACAAAAAGACAAGGCTGCAGATGAGCAATGTGCCTGGGGATGTGGAACTCTAGGAATGAACTAGAGCCGTTGAGCACAGTGGTTGGGATAGGATGGTGTCTTTGTTTTTTTTTTTTTTTTTGCAGTACTGGGGCCTGAACTCAGGGCCTACACCTTGAGCCACTACAGCTTTTTTGTGATGGGTTTTTTGAAATAGGGTCTCATGAGCCATTTGCCCTGGCTGGCTTTGAGCCTCTAGCCTCCTGATCTCTGCCTCCTGAGTAGCTAGGATTATGGGTGTGAGCCACCAGGGCCTGGCTAGGATGGTGTCCTTGAAGACACTGAGGTAAGTGTTTGATTGCAGGTAATTTATTTGGCAAGAGATCCTAGGAAGTATTGTTGAGACAAGTGAGAAGGGAAGGGAACCCAGAGGTGGACATTATAAAACGAGGGCCACTGGGAACTGCCGGGCCTTAATCTTGTGGGGTTACTGTGGGAACCAGTATTAGGGACACCACACTTTTCAGGGGTATTCCTTTGCAGGGTAGTGACTGGCATTCATGGCTAGAGGACTGCTGGGGAAGGGGCATCTTCTCAGTCAGCCTGAGCCCTCAGGCAGAGTGGGAACTCTGGTGGTCAGGTGAGTGTGGAGAGATGGTACACAGGACCATCAGCGCCACCTCTCTGAGATGCCTTGGAAGATACAGGAGGGAGCAGCAAGTTTGGGGAACATTTAGAGGCTGGAGCTCTGCTACTAGGGGAAGGAGTCAGGTCACTCACTGTCCACTGTGGGGCAAATGCTCCTTTTGGACAGGCTTGACCCCTGCTTTGCACCAGAAGGGGCTTGGTAGACTGCAGGAAGATTGTGAGATCCCAATGGTGTCAGTTAGGAGCCACAATCACACTCCTGAGCTGCTTCATCTGTACAGTGGGAACACTGACATATATCATCGGCTCTCCTCATAAAGCATGCTAAATGGCCGTGTGCACACTAAGCTCTTTTCACTTGACTTTGATGGTAACAGTGGCTCATCCTTAAGAAGTTCTTGGTATGCACCAGGCAAGGTCATGTGTGAGCTCATTTCATCCTCATGACAACCCCATGGGGTGGGCACTGTTAATTGTCATCATTTCACAGTGAAGAAACTGAGGCTTAGGGAGGTAAGTGACGGAACCCCAACACTTGCTTCAGGGCCCTTTCCTCTTATAGTGTAAGCAGGTACTTGGGAAACTATTGTGGTAATCATTTTAAATTGTTTGCTTTTGATGACAATACCAATGGCTTTAACTTCTGAAGTCTGCCTGGCACTTTTCCCATCTGGGAACTTCCCCCAATATAGATATACCTGCAGCTAGAGAAGAACAGCACAGCACTCCAGTCGGGGCAGAGCTTAAGCCCCTCCTAGAATGTCCTTGTGGCTCCTAGGCCATCACCCACCACCTGGGAAGCCAGGCCAGGACCCTGTGCAGAGGCTCCCCCAGCCCATGGGTTCAACTGCAGCTTTGATGTTCCAGACCCCACCGGTTGGGTCTCTGGGGACAGTAGAACAGGCACAGGGATGCTTTGCTAGCCCTGCTACTGGGTAGGGACCTTAATGAGGAATGAGCACATGGTCACAGCTGAAGTTAGACTGGGCATATGGTCTGTCCCCAGTTAACTCCAGCAGTAGGTCATCTGTAAAATTGCAAAGTTAAAATAGCACAGTCATTACCCACCACAGGGCTGAAAATAACCAAGACCGGAACAGGCCTGTGGATACAGGCCTTTATTTGCCCACGGGCCTCAGGGAGCTCCCCTAGAAGGCCTGGGCTCTTTTAGGATAGAGCACATGGCCTGTGGGCTGGAGCACAACCTGTCTGCGTTCTATCTGAGGTGGCTGGATGGGCAGCAGGATGGGTGGTGGAGGCCCCACAGGCAGTACTGAGGGAAGGTGTGGGCACACACCACAGTGAAGGCAAGTCACGTGCATAGAGCCGGGAGAGGAAACGCCCTCTTCTGGAAGTGGGTCTGGGAGGACCCACGACAGGGATTGACTCCAAGGGAGAAGCAGGAGGGGACTGAACACATCACAAGGCAGAGGTGCCCTCCTCCATGCCAGATCCTAAAGAGGGGCAGACAGACACAAATGACAAGTCCTTTGAGGGGAAGATACACAGTTCAGTGGTGGGCCATGGATACACAGCTGCCTGAGGAAGAGGAGATTTGTTCTCAAGAAAGGCACAAGCAACCCATGGACAGGAGGGATGAAAGTATGCAGAGCACCTATCTGAGCATTTTATTTTATTTTATTATCTCATTTTATTATCTTATCCAAGGGTCAAACCATTCCAGCGAACTCAGGACTGTTGCTTCCCCCATGTTATAGGTGAGAAAACTGAGGCTTAAGGAAGGTAACTCACTCAGGATCACTGAGAGACAGGAAGTGTCAGACTGGGAAGCTATGACCAAGGCCCTTGTTCTTCACCACTGGGCTAGACTGCCTCTGACAAGGCCTCCTGGGAGAGACTGGGTATGTGAGATTTTGATCAAGGGAAGGGAAGAAGAGCATTTGGGTACAGAGAACTACTTGAGCAAAAACTCAGAAGTTGGAAAGTAGATGTTGCCTTGTGAGGAGGAAGTTGTGTACCATTGGAGTTCTGGGGGGGGGTGTGGGTGTGTGAGAGAGAGACAGGGACAGAGAAGGAAGATGGGGAACCTAAAACACTCCAACAGTCACTGTGTGGGGATTGCCTGTAGTGGATTGGGATCCCCTCTGACTTACTGTGTGACCTTGCATTGGTCTCATCCCTCTCTGAGCCTCTCGGTTGCATCATCTGTTAAGTGAAGGGTTGGGGCAGAGGGTCTGTGAGGCTGATGAGTGGTAACAGGTCTAGAAATAGCTGGTAGAATGTGGGGAGGGTCAGGCTAGGGAAGGAAGAATGTAGAAAAATGTCAAGCATTTCAAAGGTCAAGGAGGACAGAGAATGTTTTGACAGCAAAGAGATCACCAGTGACCTTGGCAAGCTTTGGCCTTTTGGAATGAGGGGAGCGGAAGTGGCTTTGGAAAAGGGCCAGGAAAGGGCTGAGCCAGGGGAAATGGGAGAGTTGGGACACAAAAATAGGGGGGAAGGAAGGATGTTTGCCTTAAGGCAGGAATGGATAATGAGATGAATAAGGCCACCCTTGATTGATTGGTATTGCCTGCCTGGGACCCTATGCTGAGAAACAGGGAAAATAGAGCTGCAATCTGTTAGCAATGTCTGCCAAGGACATAGGCGATAGGCATGGCAGTATTTCCTTTGCCATCTGTGGTTAGATGGGTCTCGGATTGAAAGTGGTAGTCTGGGTATCTTAGCTTGTGGAGAAGTAGCCTCAGGGCTTAGGAAAACTCAAGATGGGAGGAAATCCCTCCAACTTCAAGAAACTCTCTCTGACCTTTGGCTAGAATTAAGGCAGTTTGCCTCATGGTAAGGTAATCTGGGCTAGCCAGTGGTCAAGAGCTTTTTAAAGTCAGAGTCCTTTGAACCTCAGTTTCCTCATCTGTAGAATGGGAGTGAAAGAGTGCCTACTTGAAAGGTAGCTGTGTGTTGGAGGTGACTATAGTAGCCACTGCTTTATTATTATAATTATTATTATTATTGGTTCTTTGTTATATAGTTGGTATGGTTTGCCAGGATGATGGTGCCATTCGTCTTGGTTTGTTTGAGAGCTGGGCTGATTTGTTCCAGAGTTCTCATCACCTGGTGCAGGACCAGGAATACTCCAGGGACTTTCTGTTTCTTTTTGGAGGATCAAGTAGCATTAGACTTGTGGTGGATGGGACAGAGGATGGGGTCACTTTGGGCTTTAGGGTCATCTCATTGGGGGCCTGGCCTCATGTTAGGGTTGAGGGGTGGAGGGCAGAGCCGGGGGTGAGGTTGTTCAGGTCACTCCTTTACTCAGTAGCATGCCAGCTACATGCCAGATTCTGAATGGCTAGTCAGCAAGTCCCTGCTTACCTGGATTTCAAGGGGAGGGGCCCCCAACACACAGACACACACACACACACACACACACACACACACACACACACGTGCACAGGCGGGTGTGCAGGTACTTGCTCTTGCACACTCTCTCTCGTGAGAAAACAGTCTCAGAGAGGAACAGTGGCTTACTCAATGCAAATCCAGAGAGACATGGGGGTTCAGGTTCCACCTGGCTATGGAGGAGGGGAGCAGTGTCCTAAGAGCCTAAGGCTCTAGGACAGGAGCTAGGAGAGGCAGCAGGGGTCCAGACTGGGCAGGGGACCCAGTGGTACCCCTGGGCCCAGGAATCTGCTCCTGACATCGTGGGAACCCACACTGCCAGGGCCTCAGAGGCCCAAAGCCTGCGATGCCCAGTCTTAGTCTTGCATCTGTGGCTTTTCCTTCAGGAGGGATGGTCTAGGATAGGTGGCCCCCGGATGCAGGTTCCTGTCAAGTTCCTGCTCTTTCCTTAACCAGACTGTATGTGAAACTAAAGAACAGTTTTCCCTTCTGTAGACTGGGTACAGTCATGTGGAATGCCTCCTACAGGTTCAGCCTCTGTGCCAAGAAGAAGGATAAGGATGTGCGGAGTGCTCTGTGTACTCATCCTGGGGCCCTCCCTGGAGATCTCTGTCCTGTTCTGCCTCGCTATTTCTTACTGAGCCATGGGCACCCCTAGACCTCAGCTCTTAGGAGGAATCATGGGGATGGTCCAAACCTCAATTTATGCCCCTCTACTTCCTCAGCGCCCTCTTCTGAGTAGAGGAGCCCAGTGGGGCCTCTGTCTAACTCTTCCTCCTGGTCTGAGCTGGGCTCAGTAAGCTGGGCTCATCCCTCATTTTCCAACCTTTGTGACTTTAATCGAGGGCAGTCTCAGAGGATCCTTCCCGTGGACCCTACTCTGTGCCCTACTGCAGCCTAGTGTTAGTCTCAAAGGGGACATGGACTCCCCCTAGACTGCAGGGGAGGAGCCAGGCAGCAGAGTCAGTACTCCAACCCAGTCTTGGACTACTGCCAGATTGATATGGTGTCATTTGAGAAGTCACCTCCTCTTTCTCTGCTGACCCCACCCCAGTTGTTCGTTTCTGGATGCACAGGTGAAATAAAGCAGTATGGGCTGGGGCCATGGCAGCCAGCTAGGCAGCTGCAGTTCTTCTCACTTTGTATGGCCTTTGTCTCATGCCTTTGCCACTCTGAGCCTCAGTTTTCTGATCTGCAAAATGGAATAATATTCACCTTACAGGATCCTACTAAGGATTCAGTAAGAAAATGGTACGATTTGCCCTCAGCAGGTTTTAGTATTGAAGTTAAGTTTGGGCTCAGGACTGAAAATATGGCCCAAGTCTTGGCTCTGGTACCAACTAGCTCCCTGGTTCAGTTATGTAATGGCCTCCCAGCCTAGTAGGCATCACTGTCTACAGTGGGTGTGATGACAGGTCTACCTCATGGGTTCTCCTGAGGTCAATGAGGACAGTTTATGTAAAGCTTCTTACCAAGTGCCTGTTATTAACAGTAAAAAGAACAATGGGGGCACCCTGGGGGCGCCTCACTGGGTGTTCTGAGAAGATGGGGCTGGTGGAAACCAGTAGCCTACTGGCAGTGTCTAAGGACTGCTGCCCTGTCTTGCCCCAGAGCTGCCCGAGAACTGGACAGACACCCGGGAGACACTGCTCGAGGGCATGTTGTTCAGCCTCAAGTACCTGGGCATGACACTGGTGGAGCGACCCAAGGGTGAGGAGCTGTCAGCCGCCGCTGTCAAGAGGATCGTGGCCACGGTGAGAACTTGGTCAGGAAGGAACAGGGGCCCAGGTGGCCCCTCATTCCCACCTTGTTACCTGAATAGCTGTGTCTATGCCTGGCCCTGCCCTTGTGTCCTGCTCATGACCTTGGGTGGAGGGGAGACATTGGACTTGTGGGGTCAGGGTCAGTAGCTTCCTCTCCAGCCATGGTGATCTGGCTTCTTCTGGCCTAAGTTCCCTCAGCTCAGGCTCCTGGCCTAAGTGTTGGTGACTTACCAGCACCAGGAAGGGTGGGGAGGTTGCTGTCACTTGACCATACACCCAGCCGCCTGGCAGACAGTGTAGCCCACCAGGGACCAGATTGCCCCCTGCTCAGCTCCAAGTAAGTAGGACCCTTTAAATCCACTCTGTGTAGGTCAGGCCCTATTGTGTGCAGTGGGAGAATCAGGGTCCCCAGGGTCATCCTGCTGGGCTGTGACCATCCTATTTGTATGCAGTTTGGTGACCTCCCAGCTGTGTGTTCTATGGCAAGTCCTCCAACTTCTGAGTGCATTTCCTCCTGGGCAGGAGTTTGAGATGCCCCTCCGTTGGTCAGCACAGGAGCTTGCCAGTGAACAGCCCTTGTTCCTGTTTTTATCTCATGAAGGTGCCAGCTGATTGTCCTACTGTGGCACTTACCAGTTGCCTGAGCTGAGGCCTTACGTGGGCTTCCTGTCTGGGTGCTGGAGCAACCAGATATAGCCCATGACGAGTGTCCTAAGTAAGGCAGGCAGGCTCCTCTGACCCCCATGTGTCCCCTAGGCCAAGGCCAGTGGGAAGAAGCTGCAGAAGGTAACTCTCAAGGTGTCGCCACGGGGAATTATCCTGACTGACAACCTCACCAACCAGCTCATTGAGAATGTGTCCATTTACAGGTACACTCAGCATGGGGGTAGCCCAAGTCCGCTCTGCCACTGGGGGTGGTGATTGGAGTGTCCCTTCTGAATCCAGGCTCCACTGCTTGCTTTCTGGGGACTGCAGTGCCTCAGTTTCCTCATCTGTAAAGTGCGGGGTAGGAGCAGGCCCTGCCTCATCATGCTGCTTTGAAGTGCTAGTGTACAGCATGCAGCTCATAGAGCGCGCTCAGTTAAGTGGATTGCTACTATTCTTACTATCAGTGGTAGCTGGCAGCTGAGGCCTGATTGGGCCTGTGTCCCCCCGCCCCCCAAATCCCCCCAGTACTTCCCCTTGCTCTGTGCTTGCTCCTGAGTCAGGCTGGGAGTACAGAGCTGCAGAGTCACTGCCTTTTCCTTCCGCCATGAGCACAGCAGCTGAGCCCTGAATGTCAGTCAGACATCCCAGGGAAGCTACACACAGGGTCTGGAGCCTGAATGTAGATGGTCCAGCTCTGGGACCCTCAGGCTTTCTCCTTCTCTCTTGGCTGGTCAGGTGTAGGATTTCAGACTGGAAGGAACAATCCAGATCCATTTTATAGGTGGAGAAACAAACTGAGGCCCAGGGAGGGAATGACCCAAGACTGCATAGTGAGTGAGGGGCTGAACTGGGATCAGGATGTCCAGGCTAGAGTGCTGTCCAGCAAGCCCCTCTGCCCAGCATCCTACTACTTTCTTCCTTTGTCTCCAGTCAAGTGTCTCAGTCTGCTGGAGTATCAAGCAGTAGTAGATGGGCACATGGAGATAGTTTCAGAGTTTCCAGCTGCCACCCTCCTCTCACCTTCTGGATTCTATCTGCCTTCCCTTAATCAACATTTCCAAGTACCTGTTATGCTGTGATCTGTGCCCAGTGAGGACTCTGACTTAGCCTCTGCCCTCTAGGAGCATCCAGTCTAGGAGGAAATGGATGGGCAGAAATAGGAGGTATAATGTTTCCTAAGAAGGCAGAGAAGGAGGGGTCTACTAGGGGAGATCTGGGAAGGCCTTCCAGGGAAGGTGCCATCATAGGGAACCCAGGCCCCTGGGACAGAGAAGAGGCAGCTAGGGACCTCGCATCCCCTTTGTCCACTTGGGGGTGTTCAGTGGAGTTATTGAATTGGTGCAGTTGAAGCTGGGGCCACTTGAGTGATGGTTGAGTTTCCAAGCTGTCCCACTCCTGGGCTGCCGGCCCCTCCCCTGTTGTGATTCTCATGTGATTGGAGGCAGCGTGGGAGGATCAGACAGTGAGAGGGTGGGGAGTCCCAGGACTCAGAGAGACCAAGGGCTGGGAAGAGCTGAGGGTGTGGATGGAGATTGGGGCCAGAGAGTGCTCCCTGCAGAGGGAGCTGCTGTGTCTCCCTGCTAGCCCACTAGGGCTCTTGGTTAGAGCATTGTCATATATCCCTAGCTCTGGTTCTAGTTTTCCACCCCTGGTCACAGCTTCTGGGGGACTTTTTCACTGTCTCATCTGGGAGAAATGAACCTGAGTCTCGAAAGACCAGGTGCAGGGCAGCAATGGGCAGCTTCTTCTTTCAGCCAGTAGCCATAGACCCTTCAGAAGCAGCAGGATGTGGTTACAAGTTCATCCCAGCTCTGCTGCTACCTCTGTGGTCTTTAGCCTCAATCTTCTCATCTAAAAAGTGAGGCTAGCAGTAACAGAGCTCGTCTCAGGTGGTTGCTCTGAGAATTAAGCGAGGCATTATCTATAAAGCTCTTGCACATTGACTGGTACACAGCTAAGGTTCAGCTCTTACTGTTTAGGAGTGTGATTCAGTGTGGCAAGGGAGGAAGGAGAGAGGGAGACATGTCTTCCTTTGATCTTTTCACCTAGTCTCTCCTGCCTGGCTTGGGTCCCTCCCATGTAGATGGCCAAGGATGTTGGGCCTTGAGGGCAAGACCAGATCAGCAGTCTTGCCCCTGTGAAGAGGGGACAGCAGGCTCTCTGGAACTCAAGAGAGATGCCAGATGAGGTCAGGGCTCTGTGCCAGGACTGGTAACACTTCCTACTTGCCTTTCAGGATCTCCTACTGCACAGCAGACAAAATGCACGACAAAGTATTTGCATACATCGCCCAGAGCCAGCACAGTGAGAATCTCGAGTGCCATGCCTTTCTCTGTACCAAGCGAAAAATGGTCAGTGGGGACTATTCTTGGGGGCCTGTCTGTTGGGAGTGGCAGAGTCACTTTAAAAAATTGAGAGAGCCCTGGGAATTTTAAGTGGGTGCTGAAATGAGGGCATTGGGAGAACAGTGGTTAGGTGGTGACTGGCTGGATGTCTGACTGTGGGCAGTGACTAGCCTGTGTCCCTGCAAGCCTGGGCCCCACCTTCTGTAACATGATTTGTTGGGTTCGAGGTTATTTTGGATCTTTGTTATTAGATGGCTTGTGAGGGGCAGGGGGGGTGGGGGGGGTGGGAGGGGGAGGGTTTACAGGTCACGAAGGGATTAGTTCTCAGAGGTAGGGGTGTTAGAGGACCCCTAAGTGAAGGCAAAGGCAAGGCCCTCTTGGGACTAGGTTTGTTGTGACCAGAGCAGGGAGACAAATGACCTTTTTTCATGCCCAGTCCAGTATTAGGTTTTAGATTTTAAAGTATTTTCTTGTTTAATCCTCATAACTCTACAAGCAGAAAGTATTATGCTCTCCATTGGTTTTAATCTATTAAATGGTGTTTATTTAAGGAGGATGCGGTCCAGCTGGCCAAGACAAAATACGAGACCCTATCTCAAATATAACCGGAGCAAAAAGGACTGGAGCTGTGGCTCAGCTGGTAGAGTGGCACCTAGTCCTAAGTTCAAACCCTACTAACACACAAAAAGAATGCTTATTTATGCCAGACATAATAAACCTATAATGCCTATAATCCCACTATTTGGGAGGGAGAGATCAGAAAGATCATATTGTATATGATGAAGCAGACCCCAGAAGCCAGCTATACTGAACATGGTACAGCCAGCTAGAAGCATAACGAGGCTTTGAACCCATATTCCTTTTTCATTCCTTTTGAACTCATATTCCCCTGCATGACTGAGGGGCCAAGAGCTTCTCATTTCCGGGCCACTCCTTGACCACATCTGGCTGGGATGAGTGAACCAAAGACCTAGGTGGTCTCTGGGTATTTGTTATGACTTTGGGGGCAAAGAGCTGGAGTGGGTCAGCCTTTGGTGTTGCCACTTTGTTTCTGAGGTCCCTGAGGTTCTGAGCATCCATTGATTTAGCATTGGCTTCTATTAACCTTTGTGAACAGCTCAGAACCTGGTACTTGTGCGCCATGGCTCTTGGAGACAAGGAGAAAAGATCCTCTCTACTCCCCCATCAAAAGACACATCAAGAACATCACAGTTTTTGTGACTCTCAGGCTTTCTGCTACCCATCAGGGCACACTTTAGATATTGTAGACATTTCCATGGCTGCCATAAGAAGTGGCCACAAGTTTAGTAACTTAAAACAACAAGATTTATTCTCATATAGTTCCAGTGATCAGCAGTCTAAAATAGATCAGCAAGGTGTGTTTCTCCTGGTGGCTCCTGGGAGAATACATTTCCTTGCCTTTCTACCCTTTAGTGACCACCTGCAACTTGGTCCCACCCTCGCCTCAGTGCCAGAAGTGTAGTCTTCCAGTCTTGCTTCCTTAGTCACATTGCCTTCTCTTTCTCTGACTTTTGAGTTTTTTTTGGGGGGGGGAGTCAGGGTAGTACTGGGTTTGAACTCAGGGCCTCATGCTTGCTAGGCAGCCATTCTACCACTTGAGCCACTTTACCAGCAATCTCTCGACTTCTGCTCCCTCCCAAGGTTCCTGTGATGACATCAGGGCCCTGGGTAATCCTGGATAATCTCCCATCTCAAGATTCCTAACTTAATCCCATTTGCAAATCCTTTTGCTATGCACAGGGAGCTACAGGTTTTGGGATGAGGACATGGACGTGGGGGGGTCCTTGTTTCACCTGTGGTGAAAGGGGCACTACAGTAGGAGACAGGCCAGGGGTCTGAGCATAGCTTATGCGCTTTGTGACCATGGTTAAATTGTGCCCTTCTCTGAGCTGCTTGCCTGCCAACAGAATTGAGGAGGTGACCTCAGTGACCTCCAGGATTGTTCTGAAAGGCCCCAGTTTCTTTTCTTTTCTTTTTAGGTGGGACTGGGGTTTGAACTCAGGGCTTTGAACTTACAAAGCAAGAACACTACCACTTGAGCCAGACCTCCAGTCCATTTTGCTCTGGTTATTTTGGAGATGGCATCTCGTGAACTGTTTGCCTCAGTTGACCTCGAACCTCTATCCTCACAATCTCAGCCTCCCAAGTAGCTGGGATTACAAGCATGAGCCACCAGCACCCATAGGGCTCAATTTCTTTTGCATACCTTTTTTCTTTCCTGTAAATTTGATGTCACTGCTACTCACCCAGGGTCTCATGATACCCAGGGTCCTGACCTGCAGTGGCTTCTCCCATGATAACCTGTTCCCACAGATGATAATTTGCTAATATCTCTTATGAAGGCCACATGAACTTAAAAATATGAACTCATTATGATCCCATTGTTCCTGTCTTCCTCTGACCAGAGCAAGTGCTAGGCAGGGCAGCTGGCCTGTGGCCATTGCTGCAGAATGTGGGCTTGGGAGGGATGTTCCTAAATGCAGTGGTTTCCACTGAAATGGGGGTCTAGGAGTCAAAGAAAGAAGGAACCATCCCAGAGGTTCACAGGGAATCCTGCCCTGGCCAGAGGACTTTAGACAGGCTTGAGTGAGATTGCCCTGCTCCAGGCCAGAGGGCATTTGCTGAGGAAACCAGAGCCTAGCTACTGCTTGGCCCCTGGCTAGCGGGGGTGGGGCAGGGCTCCTGCTGGACACCGCATTCTTTATTGCTCTCAGCACAGACTGTCAGGGTGACCAGCTGGACTGCACCTTGCCTTTCTCCACCCTTTGCCACTCAGCTCCCTGTTTTGGGGTCCCTGAAACCTCTCCAAGAGATTGCCCACCCAGGCTGGCAATGTGTGGATGTGGCCTGGCCCTGTTTGGAAACCTGGAAATTCTCAGGGCTTCACAAAATCTCTGAGGGGAACAAAGGTGAGATGTGTGCCTTGGGCTCTGCACCCTCCTGCTGGCAACTGCCCCCACAGATGCATGGTATGGCCTGGTCTTGGTAACTGGAATCCAGGGGCCTGGCTGTAGGGTAGAGTTTATGAAGCCTCCTGGAGGTCAGGAAGACTTCCAGAGGCAGAGGCTTTGAAGGATGAGTAGAGCATAAGCAGGAGTGTGCCAGGCCAAAGGGTGAGTGGTAAGAGGTAAATGCAGGCTAGTGTGGGAATTAGCATGTGCAGAGGCACAACACGAAGTGGTGCCACTACTGAGGACTGAGGTCTCTCCCTTGTGGGTGACAAGATAGAGTCAGCCTACCCAGGGCCCAGGATGTTGATGAAGCCCTCACTTCTTTTTTTGCAGTGCTAGGGATGGAACCTATAGCCTTGCACATGCTAGACAAGCACTCTACTACTGATCTACATCCCCAGTCCTTTGGCCTCACTCCTTCGCTTGCTTCTTTGCTGGGCTGCCCGAGTGAGCAAAAGGCTTGGTGAACTGTAGTCCCAGCAACTTGGGAGGCTGAGGTAGAAGAATCAAGGTAAAGCCAAAGTTATCAAGAGACCCTATCTGAAAAGTTAACTAAAGCAAAAAGGACTGGGACATGGCTCAAGTAGTAGAACACTTGCCTAGCAAGCTCAAGGCTGAGTTTAAACCCCAGTAATGCAAGGGGAAAAAAGAAAGAAGTCCAGAGAAAGGGTTCCTTTCTGGGTTACCAGCAGTTTCAGCACAGGCTGAGGCACCATAGCCATTCCATGGTCCTGTTGGCATGGCCAGGAGAAGGTTCTCTGCAAAGCATTGTTTCTGTCTGTTTAGGCCAGAGGCCTCATCGAGCATTCTGCTAGTGGGCTCAGACATAAAGGTTGCGGAACTCAGGGTCGCCACCCAGTTCTACCTAGGCAGAGGGGGCAGGGCTGTGCCTCAGGTGGCCCTCGCTCTTCCTGGAGTAATCCTTGTGCAGGACTCATACTTTAGCCCTAGTGGGGCCTATAGAGAGGATAGGGCCTATTTTGGTCTAAGAGCCTGGACCCTTTGAGGGGTTAAGAAGAGCCTGCCTACTGGGAACAAGACAGAGACATAGAAAAGTGGGCCAAGTGGACAGTGGTCAGGTAATAAGACAGACCCACAGGCCAGAAGCCCTCATAAGGGCCAGGCACAACACTGGGGAGTAAAGGAGCAAGGCTTCCCTGGGCCTTGAGCCTTTCTTCCTGCTGAAGCTGGGACAGATTCCTGCAGCCGCCAGGACCAGCCCATCCCTAGGCCTGCAGCCACCTGCACACATTGCTTCTTGAATTTTATTTGGTTTAACTTACAGTCTGGGATATCAGGGCAGAGGGGCCAGAATGTATGCTAATGAACAAGCAGATTTATGCAGAAACAGTATAAGCCTGTGTCCCCAGGTTTCCTGCATACAAAAATAATGGTGTTCCCATAGCCCTGCCATATTAGGTGACCAGCCTTTGCTCTGGTGTATAGAGATCTGACTCGGGCTGGTAATTAGCCCATATTTTTAGTTCATGGGCAATTCTCAACGGTAACTGGGTCTATTAAACTTGATTCAGACGTGACAGCTTAAATTGTAAACAGCTGTGAAGAGTTTCATACTTAATTACCATATTTAAGTTTTGCCATAAAGCACCCGTACTTCCATCAAAAATGTAAATGACGGAGACATTCAAATGAGATTTTATACTTCGTGAAGTTTAATTGGCATGGATCAGTCAGCTTGTTTGGGGATTGAGTCTTTTTTTAAAAAAGAGTTTTGAAGGCAGTGGCCGTGGATTCATTTCTCAATTAAATTGAGTTGTCTGGCAGGGGGGAGGGATGAGACTGAGGCTGTTAGGCCTGAACTTGTTATGCACTTGAAAGAATCTCGTGCTTTCTTCTGTAGCCCAGGGCTTGCAGGAGGAAGCTTGGTGGTGTTTCCGGCCTCAGCTATAAGCTCTGGGGCTTCCACACCCAGAGCCAGGGTGGTTAACTCTGAATTAGAACCACAGGGAGGAAGTTGTTGAGATGGATGTGGGCTGGGGAAGGTCCTGGCTGGCAGGAGACCTATCTCTCGGACAACATTGCTGTCATCTCTGAGGGACCTTGGCCTGCGCTGAGGACAGGGATATGCAGACCCAGTCCTACTTGTAGGGAGCACACTGATCTAGGACCTAGGCATGTGAGCTAGTGACTCTTTCATCTGCATGATGCCAGGTAGAAGGAAGAAATTCATGCTGGTGACAGGAGAGAAGTTGTGACATTTGAAGGGGTGAATGGGAGTTCCCTAGGCATGAAAGCCAGGGTGCCCCCACCCCTTACAGGTTGGTTACTGCACTGAATGATTTTGGTCCCTAGCACTCACTAACATCTTGCTTCTGGCAAGAGACTTGTAAGCCACTGTCTCCCTTGCTGGGATCTGGTTATCAGCCCTTCTGGCCGTTGTCCTGAACAGAGCTTGACCTTTACCTCTCTGGCTGTGGCTTATTCAGGCAGGGGCCTTCCAACGTGGCCTTTCTGTTCTCCAGTCCCAAGGGCTCCACTAGCGTATGAAGTCCTCAGATAAGCTTCCAGAGCTTCTTGAGCAAGTAAGCCTCACAATTAATTGATTTAGGGACACCCCGGTTGAAGGGAAAGGTGGAGGTGAACAGCCATGGGGGAGTCTGGGATGAAGGTGACTGTAGGGTGAAGATGGGCGCCAAGCTGTTCTGGTTCCCCAGTAGTTCCTGGCCCCTACCTCCGCCTACTAGACATTCCAGGACCTGGGATAGAGTCCAGGTGCTGCAAGGAGGGAGTCCCCCGCTCTCTGTTCAGACTCGTGCTTCCCCAGCTGACACTGGCCCTTGCCTGCCCTCACTTCCTGTTTTTCAGGCACAGGCTGTCACCCTCACTGTAGCCCAGGCCTTCAAAGTTGCCTTTGAATTCTGGCAGGTGTCCAAGGAAGGTGAGTCTTTTTTCATCCACATCATGGGTGGGGTGGGCGTTAGGGTAGGGAGATGGATAAAGGCCTGGAGTCACACCTGGGCTGGCTTCCAGCCTCATTCCCTAACTGGCTTGTGAGTTTGAATAGATTCCCTCTCCTCTCTAAACCTCAGTTTTTCCTTATATAAAAAAAGGGCAGCAGGCATGTCCCTTCCTCAAGGTGCTTGTGAGGCATAAGTGACATCTGCATGGTGCCCTTCCTCCCAGATAGAGACCTAAAACTGCCCCCTGAGGTTGGCCACAGCCAACTCCCTTCCCAATGATTGCTGGAGACAGAGGTCTGAGTTCCCTGCATTTTGTGCCTTGATTCCACAGAGAAAGAGAAGAGGGAGAAAGCCAACCAAGAAGGAGGGGACATCTTGGGGACCTGCCGTGACAGCGCCCCCTCATTGAAAAGCTGTGAGTCTTGGAGAGGGATGGGACCTTCAATTACAGAGCACTGAGCCTGCCCTTCATGAGGGGGAGCCCTTCCTCCTGGGCTGGGGCTTTGTGGTTCAGTCAGTAATGCATATTCATTCTAGGTAAGTTAGAAAATGTAGACATGAGAAAAGTTGTTTTATTGAGTATGTGTTTATCCTAACATGTTCCTGTACAAGCATATAAGTACATGTGTGCTTTCCATCCTGTGTGTGCTCTTAAAAATATAGCAATTGGCTATATGCCTGGCTCACACCTAGAATCCTAGCTACTTGGGAAGCTGAGATCAGAAGGCCAGCCCAAGCAAAAAGTTTGTGAGACCCTTCTCAATAGAAAAAAGCTGGACGTGCGTGCATGCCTTTCATCCCAGCCACAACAGGAAGCCTAAAATAGGAGGATTGTGGGTAGTCCAGGCCAGCCTGGGCAAAAAGTGAGACACTATCTCCAAAGTAACCAGAGATCAAAGGGCTGGAGGTCTGGCTCAAGTATTAAAGCACCTGACTAGCAAGTGCAAAACCCTGAGTTTAAACTCTCGACACCCCCCCCAAAAAAAAAATCCTTAAAAACTTAGCAATCCAATTGTCATGGATATAAAAGTTTCTATTTCAGCCCTCAGTGAGAGGGGGGCAAGTTCTCTCCTTACAGGCAGCTGTAGCTGTCCAGTAGTTGGGGGATGTATTAGGGCGGAGCTCTGGTGGTCTAGTATCACCAGGTCCAAGGAAGAAGTCAGGACCTGGACAGTCTTGGAACATCCAGATGGGGTCAAGAGATGGGACTGGGAGAGAAGTGGCTTACGTCCCACTGACACCCCTGGCTGACCTCCTCATAGTGGTTGCCACTGGAAACCTGCTGGACTTGGAAGAGACGGCAAAGGCCCCACTGTCTACGGTTAGTGCTAACACTGCTAACATGGATGAGGTACCACGACCTCAAGCCTTGAGTAGCAGCAGCGTCATCTGGGTGAGTAGCTGTATGGCCTGGGACCCAGTCAGCTTCTGGGTCCAGGCTACAACATGTGGGCCTCTGGGAGGACCAGACCCAGCCCAGCAGCGCCTACACCCAGGGTGGAGGATGAACAATGTCCCCTTTGAACCCAGGGCTGTGTCCCCAGCAGGCCCAGCTCCCAGCACAGCTGTCTCCTCACAATGCCTGGCCTCTTGGCCTGAGCATCATGACTGCCCACGACAGGACCAGCCAAAGGAGCCCTTGTTCTTGGTGTGGCAGAATTCTGCCTGACACTCCTCCCCACTCTGCCATCTAAATGCAGAGACGCAGACTTGGACCCTTGTCAGCTTGGCTCCCAACTCCCTGTGACTCAGGGCAAGCCCCTGACCTCTCTGTGTCTCGGCTTTTTTGTCCCCTCACTGAGGAAATGAGGAGATTGTCTGCCCACAGAATCTCCCAGAGGAATCTGAGGGGTTTTTATTTTAAATTTTTGTTTGAAGATGATTTCAGATTATGTTACAAAATTAGTAGAAAGATTTCCAGCTTGCCTTTCCATCCAGATGTCAACTAGATGTTGACATCTTCATAACCACATTTACTACCAAGTAATTGTCAGTGACACAGCCCTGTTACATAACCTGCAGAACTGATTGCCCTTTTTCACTTGTGCCTCCTTTGTCCTTTTTCTGCTCCAGCATCCATATCCCTTTGCTTGTTAATTTTGAAAAATTTAGAATATGGAAGGACTTTAACAACGTCAGTTTCCTCTGACTTTTGGGGGCAACTGGGCTGTCTCTTGAACCTGTCCTCTGCTGTCTGGGGACTTCCCTACCCGACTCACCCCAGAGGCCAAGGAGGAACCTTGCCTGAACTTTGGTCTGAGTCTCTGAGATCCTGACTGGAGTTATTCCTCATTTATTTGACACAGGTCTTGCCCAGGCCGGTCTCAAACTCCCAATCTTCCTGCCTCAGTCTCCTGAGTGCTAGAAGTACAAATTTGGGGTTTGGGCTGACTTTGGAAGTAGATGAAGGCAGACATCTTCTTTCTCTACCCTTTCCTTTTTGGAAATCATCAGGTCCCTCAATTTACAGAAGAAAAAGCTGAGTGTCAAAGAGGCTGTGGCTGTGGGACTTGCCTCAGATCTCCCAGGCTGCTACTGGCAGAGCTGGGAGTTGAACCTGCGCCCACCTCCAGAAGCCTTGTTCTTGTCCCATACCCCAGTTTCAGGTTCATCAGAGACTGATGGCACCACCCAAACAGGAGGCCTGCCTGTACCCGTTCCTCCGGCAACCATTCCCTTTAGTGTCCTGAGTCCCTGTGACTTGCCCAAGTCTTCCCCACAGTGAGCATGGGTTCCCTACTCAACATCTCACCTCCTGCTTTGTTTCCCCAAGGAGCTGGACGATGGCCTGGACGAAGCATTTTCCAGGTAATGTTGGATGGGAGCCTTGTGCTAAGAATGGGGACTAGGGCTGGCCCTTCCTGTCCTTTCCTCCCAGGGCCTTTGCCATGTCTGAGGACATAAGGCCCTCTACCTCCTCACAGGGAGAGTCCCTTACCCTTGAGTGCATCCAGAGATGGGAAGCTCACTACCTGGGAAGGGAGCCTCTCCTGGGCAGCCCCTTAGGGTAGGTGTGTTTAGAAAGCTCTTGCTTTTAAGTCAGAAGCCACTCCTAGGGGCTGCCTGGCCCTTTCTGAGCCTAACCAAATACTGCAGCACAGCCTGGGGGAAAGCCCTCTGTCCAGCCTGGGCAGGTGCAGCATGTCTGGCCCGTCACGGAGGCAGAGACCTTTGCACCATCTTCCATGCATCTCTGGCTGACTGCAGCCTGTCATATGAAGTAAAGCTTCCATTTGCTTTCCCAGAGTGCTCAAGGATCACATACCTTTTATTAACAATTTCAAAAATCAGTAAGGCATTGAACAGAAATAACACCAATCCCACGGCCTAGGCGGGGCCTGATTCATGCTAATCCTGCACACACGCATTATTTTGCATTGATCGGCTCATCACCCAGGCTTTTGGGGATCCTGCTGTTTTCATTTGATGACGTGTGTTGGAGCCTCTCTCTAGGCTGTTATACTCCTGTGAGCCCTCCTGAGGATGTGGCCATCATTTACTTACCTCTGCAGATTCTTGTGGGTATTTAGGTTGTCTCCCTTTTGAAATTAGTTTTTGGGAACACATTGCTGAATAGAATTGTAGCAAGTAGTCTTCTCGTGGCTGGGCTGGGTTTGGCCAACAGCCCCCCTGTTGCTGTTCTTTGTCCTCCCTGTGGTTCCTAACCAGGCCAGCTCAGCATGCATGCATGCCCTTCCTCTCTCAGGCTATGAGTGCCCACTGCCTGCACCACAGTTTTGACTCTCCAGGGATAGCCCATTGATCAGAGGCTCCATGTTCCCTGGCACCATAGAGTTCCTTCTTGGACATGGGTCCAGCCATTTTCCCACTCCTGCCCTCTCCCTTCTGGTGCTGGCCAGGCTGTCCTGGTTCCTCAGGGTCTGCCAGCCTCTTGCCGTACTCAGCTCACATATCTCTGCCTTCCAGGTTGGCGCAGTCGCGGACGAACCCACAGGTCCTAGACACTGGGCTGTCAGCACAGGACATCCATTATGCCCAGTGCCTCTCTCCCACCGACTGGGACAAGCCTGACAGCAGTGGCACTGAGCAGGATGAGCTCTTCAGCTTCTGAGGGCCTGGGGCCAGCAGGACATAACCAGCATGACCAAAGCCATCCATGGCAGGGGAGTAGGCTCCAGGACTTACCAGTTGCCTCTTCCTACCTGCATCTGTGGCGGCCTGCAGATGAAAGCTATAGGCAGTCAGGCAGGGGAAGAGAGGCTTATAACCTGCTCTTTCTCAGAACTGAAAGATGCCTTGAATATTTATTCAGTGACTCTTGGTTGATGGTAGGCAGCCAGTTCCTTGTCAGGCATGTAGTGTGGGCAGTGCTGTGACTATGCTGGCTCTTCTCCAGCCATCTCAGCTCTGGATGAGGGTGTCAGGACAGTGACCAAAGCATTTCTTGTCCCTCCTTCTTTTTAAGGACCTGGATTTCCCTAGGGACATCCCCAGTCCCTACTGAAGAGCAGTCAGAATTCCAGCATCTTCTGAGCACAGGAGGAACCTCAAAACCTGCAGAGGGGCCTGGGTCCTTACTCTCGCCTTCCTCAGGGTCTACATACCCGGACTTGAGCCCTCAGGGCTCTCAGAGAGGCAGCCCCTGACCAAAGATGACACACAGCTTGGCACTTTAAAGCACACACTGCAGATGTGGCTCCCAGGGCTCCTTAATGGTGCTGTGTTAAATAGAGCTTTCTGCTCTTCCCCCAGGAGGAGGGGCCAAAGTTCCCCAAGAGCAGGAGCCAGTGGAACTGGCTGCCTGCGACTCCCAGTCTGACTGTGATCACCTCTGTGCAACTGCCCTCCCTCGGGGTTCCGTCCCTGCCTCCCACTCCATGAATGAGGCTGTGCCTGCTCTTCTGTTTGGTCTATGCATCTGCGTGAGTGTCCCCAGACCCTACACCCCATACCTCCTGGGATGGTATATGAAGCCTAGTGCTGGATTTGTGTAGGATATTTCACAGCCATTTCATAGATGAGCAAACTGAGGCCTCGTGTGGAGGAGGTGGAGTTGGGAGTAGACCCAGATCTGATGCCAAAGCTGCTTTCTCCATCACCACCTCTCACATCTCACACCTTTTTTTCTAGCTTTGTTGTCCTCTCAGAACCAAAAAGCCCCAGCTATTTTCTGACCAAAATGTGTTTCATAACAAACCATCTGGTGCCTTTCCACACAGCACTGGCACAGTCTTCCGTGCCCTGCTAGCTATCTCACTGCCGATTCTGGGAAGATGCAAGTGTTTGAAGTTGCTAGTTCCGAGGGTGAAACGAAATCAACCTCCATAAGCATCGTGCTGTTCTCTTTTCTGACACTGTGGCCCCAATCAGGCCATCCCAGTGGCAAGCTGTCTGCAGAATCTCTTTCTTCCTTCCCCACTGGCCCCATGGTCTTCAGCATCCTGAAACCCAGCCAAGCCATGAGCATCTTTCCATCCTGAGGAGCCCCCAGCGGCCTGGCTTGTCAGAACAGGTCTCAGCCCCAGGAGACACACCCAGCATTTCTTAGAATCCAGTATCTCACTGAGCCTGTGAGTCAGACATGTGTCTGACTTAAGAGTGTCTTTACCAGAACAAAGATAACTTCCTTTCCCTGCCCTGCTCCCACCCCATACCTTTGTCAGAGGCAGCAAGGGCTCACAGGCCGTCCCTGGGTCTTTGGCATGAGGAGCTGGGGTTCTCTGCCATGTGGGCCATGATAGGGCTCCCTCCGGTCTCCTGTTGACAAGCTGTCAGCTATGCTTCCCTTGTGTCCACAGCCAAGTCTTGCTTCACTTTGTGATGCTGTGGAGGAAGTTCTAATGAGGAAAAAGACAAATAATAAATGTCTTTTTTTGAAGTACAAGCAGCACTTCAATGGAGTGACCTGGTGACAGGGTGCAGTATCAGTGCTTCCTGCTCTTTGGCGATGAGAGAATCAGTGACCACATGCCCAGAAGCAGTACCAGAGTGGGGTAGCCTTTGGGTCCCCTGTTGTAGGGCCATTGGAGGGCCCCCTTTCACCCACAGATGGACAATTGTGTGATAAGGTCACCTTGGGGTAACCATCAAGACTGCACCAGTGATCCTGTGCGTCAGCACTGCTTGAGGTCTCTGAGGTTGGAGATGGGTCCTGACCAGGGTCTGTCAACCCCTGGACTATGTATTAGTTTCTAGGGAGGTGGCTCGTTTCCAGCACATTTTCAAATGATCCGCAGCATGTATTTATTTGCCAAACTTACTCTGTGGTTTCTCAAGCCAGGCCTGGGCACAGTGCTAGGGGCAGGGCCAGGCAGAGTCTATATAAACTCGGGGGTGTGGCTTCATGGGTGGGGGATAGTGGGTGGTGATTCAGTGACTTGGGAGACTCAAGGTTCAGCTCTGGCTCTGCCACATAGGAACTGTGACTCCATCAGTTACCTCTTTCCTTGATTTTCCCATCAGTGAACAGGGTATAGCACTACCCAGTCCCGTCGTTCCCCCCGCCCGCCGCCATGCCACTGCATCCTTGGGTCTATGAGACTTAGGTGGACATTGTCATGTTGTTAGTAGTACATATACTCAGGTGGCTCAAAGGTTATCAAAGCAAAAGGGAATTTGGACTAAGTATATTTAAGCAAGTGCAAGTAAAGCCTGGTTCAGAGATTGGGAGGATCAAGGTTTGAGACGAGCAGGGCAAATAGTTCACAAGGCCCCCATCTCCAAAATAGCAAGAGCAAAATGAAGTGGAGATGTGGCTCAAGTAGTAGAGTGCTTTTTGTACTTTGCAAGTGTGAAGCCCTGAATTCAAACCCCAGTCCCATCAAAAAAAAGTCAAAGTAAAATGGCTGACAGCAACTAGCGTTAACTGAGAGATTCCTGAGGGCCAAGGGCTGTGTTGAGCTCCTGACTTTGCCCACAGCAGTTGCATTGAGTCCAGGTACTTAATATTATCAGATCCCTGCTGGTGAAGAAGGCAGTCCTACCTTGAGTGCTGGCATGACCAGGCCCATCTCACATTCCTGTAACCCTCACTCGGCCGAGACCTGGCCTCCAGGAGATGTGGATTAAACTGCCAACCAGCCTCCCAGTGACCGTCACAGCAAGGCCACACTCAGGTGCCTTTGAACATCCCAGGCCTCTGCCCCTTGCTGCAGCTTGTGGGGGTCTCCTTGGGCATTTATCCCTCCCAAGCAGTCATATCTCATGTCCAAAATGCAGAGACAGAGCCCTCTGACATCATCCACTGGGCAGACTCCCTGTGAATTCTGAGTGGATCAGAGAAGGCTGAGAAATCCTCTCCTTTTTTCTTTCCCCCATAATCTGAAAAGACACCAACAAGTTCATCTTTCGGTTTAAATTTGGCCAACATCTTTAGTCTCCAGATGTCTCAAATTATGAATCCCGAGCACCCGCTGTCTGCTCTTTGATGCATAACGGATGAAGTGGGAAGAACAAAGTTGCCTTTCAGATTTGACATGACCTTCAGCTTCACTGGGTAGATATTGGGCCTTCTTTCCAGGAGAAAGCATCCCAATTAAGCCTCTAGGTTTTCCCACAACCCTGGACAGGAAACTAGGGCAGAGCCCATGTCTGGGGTGCTGGCTTAGGGCCTGGTCTTTACTTGGTCTTCCACTGCTCTCCATGTACAGATCAGGACAGGTGTCCTGTGTGTTTGTTAGGAAGTGACCTTTGAACCTGTTAGGTCCTTTACACCCAATATCGATGTAAAAGTCAGGAGCTCAGCACAGCCCTTGGCCCATAGGAATTGATAAGATTCCTTACAACCATGCTATGAGGTAGTGATCCCAGTACCACTTAAGAGATGGGGCAACCCAGGGTCAGGGAAAATGAACAAGTTGACCTATCTTACATCCAGTAGGAAGTGGGTCCTGGATTCAAACCCAGGCTGTCTGACCCCAGAGCTCATTTCCACCACACTACCCCTCCTTGTAGAGCAAAGGACAGATCCCTGTCCTACTCTGCCTCTCCAACATCCCTGCAGTGGGTAGTGAGGGACACTGGGAGCTTCTGGCCAGTGGCTGTCCCCCAGCAGTGCCAGGGAAGGGCCAACCTCACAGACCGTGCAGAACAGAGCCTCCTGCCTAGGCCCAGGTGCCTGAACTTTGACATGGCACTTTAGAACCCCAGAGGGACTGTCTCATCACATCAGGCCCCATCTTGCCCCTAGAAGTATTGTCCAGCCTGCCATTGTGGCCAAGTGTGAGCTCTGGTGCCCCTCAAAGAAGGGACAGAGACACTGGCCTCAGTGAGGGTAGGGAAGAGAATAAAACCTTTGGAACAGCACAGCACCCACACAGCTACTGCAACAGCCTTGCTAGGTGATGTTAGCCCATTTTAGAGATGATGTCACTGAGGCCCAAAGAGGCTCTAGGCACTAGCTGCCTGCCTTACATGGCTGCTGAGAGAGGTAGCTGGAAATTCACATCTTGTGTTCACTGCCCCAGTGTGGCCCTGCCTCTCCACAGGCTAATGGGAGCATTTGGAGAACACAATGACCTTGCTGCTTGGGAGCCTTGAAGCCAATGCAGAATAACATTAGCCAAGGGCCTGCACAGAGTTGCTGGGTCAGGTTGGTGCCTCTGTTTCCAGCTGGGACAGAGGTGGGTGGGTCATAAGTCCGTGTTGCCAGGCAACAGTACTGAGTGCACTGCTGAGCCCCAGCTCTACCAGTCTTGAGATGGCTGAGACACATGTCAAGGATGCCCTTGACCCTTTGTAGTCTGGGAGGAGAGGGCAGCTCATGGCACTCTAGAAAGCCCCTGGCCATGACTAGTTTTCCTACACAGCAGGACACTTGATGTCAGAGCTAAGGGATGGTGACAGGGACACTGGGTGGTTCCTAGAAGACAGGAATGGTACAGCCAGATCTTGAAGGAAAGGTGACAAGGGTAGAGACACCATCTTTAGCTTGGGAGCTCCGTTACACGGGCCAGGACGTGTGTCAATTTACCCCATGGCTGCTATGCTGGGCATTACCTGGCACAGAGTGACCACAGTGAATACTTAGTAGAAGGGGTTGGACCAGTCTGGATTC